ACTTGCCATATCTGGCAGATATCAAAGCTATACTCTAAGCCTATTCAGAGCCTACAGATGGGATCCTGGGAAAAACTGGCAGAAGCTGGCTAAAAGTGAGAATTCTTAGCAGTCAGCTCCCTCCTATCTGGTAGAGAGACAAAAATAAAATTTCACATTGTCCCTTTCTAGAACAGGCCTTTGGTTTTTGATCTTTGGGAGTGGTTCTAGATCTTGTGAAGATAATATCTTTTGTACCCTCCTTGTGTATATATATCTCTTGGGTCCCTGGGCTTTTTTAATACTGTCAGCAATATTTACTGTTTTTATCTCAGTTGAAACCTAACAGGATATTTGAAACGATTTAATAATTCTATGATTAGAAATTCAGCCAAATTGGAAGCTAATATTCAGGGCTTGATAGGATTTTTTAAAGCCTTCTCTCCTAAGCTAAATGTACCCAGAGGGAAAGAACATTCTAATATAGGTGTATGGGTGTGTCAGTCTTTGCATACAATTCAGACAACAACCCAGTTATTTGAGGAATTAGAAGCAACTATACTTAACCTACAAGTCTTTGCAAGACCAGAAGAGTAGCTCTAGAAACAACTCAAGGTCCACTTGTCCTTTTGATGATTAACCTCACCTATTCATGTCCAAAGGCTTGTAGATATTGTAAAATTCTGGCCTTCCAGAGCAAAAGTCCTTGGAGGAATTTGCATGTAAAATTTCTACCTTGTCTCCTCCAGGAACTCTTATCTTCTTATCTGGGTCATCTTGAAATGCAAATTTCAGGGAGGTAATTCTTTTTTTTTTAATTTAAAAATATTTTTTATTAACATATAATGTATTATTTGTTTCAGGGGTACAGGTCTGTGATTCAACAGTCTTACACAATTCACAGCACTCACCACAGCACATACCCTCCCCAATGTCCATCACCCAGCCACCCCATCCCTCCCACCCCCCCCCCCCACCACTCCAGCAACCCTCAGTTTGTTTCCTGAGATTGAGATTAAGGGTCTTTTAAGGTTTGTCTCCCTCTCTGGTTTCGTCTTTTTTCATTTTTCCCTCCCTTTCACTATGATCCTGTCTTGTTTCTCAAATTCCACATATCAGTGAGATCATATGATAATTGTCTTTCTCTGATTGATAGGGAGGTAATTCTTAACAGGAGAAAAAAACTTTAAAAGGGAAGAGGCTTTTAAAAATACAAACTGCTACAGAAGCTCCCTTGCCCAATACAGTCCACAGCTTCCTTGAGATCCCTTGTCAAGGACAAACGCAAATCTTAAGTTTCTTCTCCACAAATATCAACAGAAAGAGCTTTGACAGTCTGAGCAGGTAATTATTACAACTTTTCTTTAAAAGTTAGTGAGTTTTGCATTATTATACCTATCTCATGGTTAAAAACATGTTTTTAAGTTTTTATTTTAATTCCAGTTAACATACAGTCATGGCTAAATTTTTTTAAATTTTTTTTTAAGATTTTATTTATTTGAGAGAGAGAGAATGAGAGGTAGAGAGCATGAGAGGGAAGATGTTCAGAGGGAGAAGCAGACTCCCTGCTGAGCAGGGAGCCTGATGTGGGACTCGATCCCGGGACTCCAGGATCATGACCTGAGCCGAAGGCAAGTCACTTAACCAACTGAGCCACCCAGGCGTGCATGGCTAAATTTTTTTAATGAACATTTTAAGGCCTCTGTTTGTGTCTGTGTATATGTTTATGTATATGTGTGGTATTTTCTACTTCTGGATGTCTTTGCCACAATTAATTTGCAAAAAAAACCTCTAATCGGCTTGAAGAAAATCAAGCATTGGTATGAAATAAGGATTTCTAAAACTCTTAGAAATATAAAAACTTAACCCAAATATTTTTCAAGTTCTGTGATCTAGGATTAATCTTTAGTAAATAAATTAATCTTTAGTAAATAAAAGCTAGTTGTTGGTTTAGTTAAAACAGGCATGTCTCAGGTGCCTGGGTGGCTCAGTGGATCAAACCATCTGCCTTCGGCTCAGGTCATGATCCCAGGGTCCTAGGATGAGTCCCACATCAGGCTCAGCGCATCCTCTGCTCAGCAGGGAGCCTGCTTCTCCCTCTCCCTCTGCTGCTTCCCCTGCTTGTGTGCGCACACATGCTCGCTCGCTCTCTCTCTCTCTCTCTGTCAAATAAATAAAATCTTTAAAATAAATAATAATAATAATAATAGAAACACCTCTCTGGGGCAACCGGATTGTGTGCAGTCTTGGGGGGCTGGGTGGTGAAAGAATTCACCCAAGGCAGAACAAAGGAGATAGAAGTTTATTGACTACACCACAGGGAAGCAGTGGGCAGGACAGCAAAGAAGAGACTGACTGCCTGGAGGTAGTGCTGGGGGCTGTAGGTAAGGAGGAAGGTGAGGAGGTATGGGAAGGTGTGGAATTTTCCCCTTTTTTGGTACCTGTGTCCAAGTGTAAATAGCCCCTTGGTAAGCTAGGGCTCATGACTATTTTCAGGTGAGTCGCCTAATGGGCCTGTTTGCATTCAGCCAGGGGGTTGGGGGTCACTGTGGGCCCTTCTACCTGACTCAGGTTTCCAGTGCTCAAGCCTGCTGCCTAGGAGCAGCCTGTACGATCTCTGCATGCAAGGAAAGTAGGATGTATGTTTTTGCTAAGAGAAATTATGAGGAATGGAAATTAATTTTTGTTGAGGGAAAAGAAAATAATATTGTCTTTATACTTAAGCTTTTTTTTTTTTCCAGAATGGGAAAGAGAGAAAACACAAGACAAAATATGAAAAGAAAAAAAAAAGAAAAGAGTAAAAAGGTGGTAGAAGGCTTGTGTAAAAGGAATCTTGGAAAATAATTTCACGTGTCTTCAAACTGGCTAAGATTGGAATGGATCTAATTAAATTTTTAAAAGGGATTAATGAATTTTAACATCAAAAGTATACTGGTATAAAATTAGAATTGGTTTCATCTGTGTTAAAAGGACAAAGTTTTCTTATACTCTTGGTCTGCTCTTTAAGAGATTATAAAAGTTTTTTTAACCTTTTAAGTAATCCTAGAAAACAAAGATTTTTGTCTTGTCAATATAATTTCTTTTGTTTCATATCAGATCTTTGATTACTTAAGAAAGTTGAGTCTTCATTAAAAGAGCTAAGGGTTTTTGTTTGTTTTACAATTATTTAACTTTCTGTATTTGCTGGTGAAGTTTCAAATTATCACTAAGGTTAAATAGATAACCAAATATTCTTTTATCCTGAACTATGATCCCATTTGACTGTTTTTAAAACTTTTTGATATTTTTGACAAACTTCACAAAAATCAAATGCTAAATGAAGTCTTTTTTAACCTCAAGCTTACTGTGGGGTATTTCAGAGGGTCCCTGGACCATCTGAAAAGATTTGTTCTTGGGGTCCCTGGCTGGCTCAGTCAGTCGAGTGTGTGGCTCTTGAGCTCAGGGTCATGAGTTCAAGCTCCCCATTGGTGAGAAAAAAGGAAGGAAGGAAGGAAGGATGGAAGGAAGGAAGGAAGGAAGGAAAAGTGGTTCTCTCTACTTATAAAAAGGGAATTGTTAAACAAATTAGGCTTATTTGATGTTAAATTACAGGGGAAGCATTGTCAAATAAGAAGTGATATACTAAGCCCTTTTTATGTTTTATTTCTATAGTTATCTATAAGTGTTCCAGAAACTGTGAAATTCCTGGAAATCTGATATGTCCTGGCATAATGTTATCAGTCATAGTTCAGTTACTATCTTAAAATGTTGTGTAAAGAAATAACCAAATTTCCTTGTTGATCCATTATAATGAGCTTTCAACCGATCTTTAACTGTGGGCATTGTAAGTCCTCATCATTTACAGACAGTTGTTGTTTCACTCAGATGCTTTTGCCAAAGTGTTTCTGCAAAAGTGCTTCATCTTTAGGGCACCTGGGTGGCTCAGTTGGTTAAGCATTGACTCTTGACTTTGGCTCAGGTCATGAACTCAGGGTCACTGAGTGTGAGGCCTACTTAAGATTCTCTTTCTCCCTCTGCCCCTTGCCCTCCCGCACCTCTCGTGTGCAGCGCGTGCTCTCCCTCTCTCTTAAAAAAAAAAAATGCTTTATCTTCAAGGAGATTCAGGAAAAGGACTTTGAAAAGTACAGGTTTCTGATAACTTTAAGATCGTAAAACAGAACTGGATAAGGATTTCCAGAACTAATGGAAAAACTAGATTCAAGCAAAATGGTACTAATTACATGAATGTAGGAGGATGATTATAATTTTTTATGACTTTTGTTTGAAACTTTGCTGGTTCCTTAATATTTTGTTTTTCCAGATTTAAGGAAACCTTTTCTCTTAAGCTATCTAAGACTTACGAACACCTTTGTAAACAAAGATGAAACATTTATTTTTTCTTCTTGATCCTGATCCCTCCAGAATTCAGAGATTTTTGAGTATTCTTTACATGGCAATATAATTATTTGCATAAGTTCAGTAAGAATCTGGTCTCCTTGTAACAGGACACAATTTGAAACATTGGCTATATTACCAATGTTGTATTACCTATATTACTGGAATGTCATATGTATAGACTCGATAGGACCAGACAGCTTTAAGGGAGTAAAGTTGACTTTATGAGGCCAATGAAGCCCCTTGGAAAAATCAGCCTGATACTCTGCCTACAGGGTTGCTGGCAGTCTTACCAGGTGAGTAAGGAAGGTTATCTCCTGACAGACCCAGGAATTCAAAATATTTTGGGGACCTTGAGAAAGGAGGAATTCACCCAAACCATAGGTATTGCAGGTAAAAATCTAATGATGAGCCCTTGGCTTGGCTTTCTGGCCTCAGAAACTTTGAAGAGTTCACTATGAGAGTCCTTATGAAAAGTTGAAGCAAAGCAGTCTCTAAAAGGAGCTTATATGCTCAATCGTTATTCTTACTGCACTTATAGGAATAATCAGGCTGCGTTTAATGAATATTAATTTTACTGTGATTATCTTTTGTAAAAAAATGGAAGTAATTGTAGATAGAAAAATTACATTTGTACCATATGGATGTTAGATTCTAGCCCTGTTAATTGTCTTTGAGGGATTGTTATACACCTGTGAACTAGACTAGATTCTGAATTCTAGTTTCCTCAAGTATCTGGCTACAACTCTCCAAACTAACATTTCCAATTTTCTCCCACCCTTCTGACTTGGAGTAACTTAGAACAAAGTCTGCCCTTGAACCTTCTTGGAAGGGATTATACAAATCCTCCTCACTACCCAGATGGCAGCCAAACTTCAGGGACTTGGATCTTGGGTCCACATCTCCCAATTAAAAAAGAGCTCCTTCAAAGTCCAGGAATTGGAATGTCAGTTCCAGCTGCAGTGCTCAAAATCAAACTGATGAGGAAGAGAATGTAGACTGCTTCCACCCAAGACACTGGGTCAACACTTATTAACTAGTTTAATTAAACGTGAAAGGCTTTCTTCTTTTCTTTCCTTTCCTTTACTCTGTATTGGCCTGGAAAGATAACACCATCATCTGTATCTCCTAGGCCATTGCGAAGGGGGGTAACCCTGCAGACTGCTGGATTTGTCATCAAAAGCTCTGACCTGTCCATGATGCTAGAAGGAGTGCCACCTTAGCAGGAGTGGTTTGTGCCCCGACAGGACTAATCTTTGTCTGGGGTGGTTATCATCCTCCTTGGGCCTGTGGATGCCCAGATAGCTGGTGGATAGCTGGGCAGTGCCCCTAGCTGTTCATGAACAGATACCTCACTGGTTGACACCTCTGAATTTACATTGTCAAGTTAGAAAGGACCTACCTGGAGGCTTTCATCATTCAGGATTTGCTTCCTTTGGAGGTCCCTGTTTCCCCCAGTTAGGAGCGAACACGAGTGAGGCTATGATCAGGACACTGTCCTTAACTCTGGAAAGTATTGCAGAATCTGTGCCATAGCAATAGCTACCAACAAAGATCCTTAGACTCGCTGGCCAAAGTTGTTCTTGCTAATAGGCTAGCCTTTAATTATCTTTTAGCTGAGCAATGAGGTGTCTGTGCTGTGGTCAACACCACAGGCTGTACCCGGGTTAGCACTTCTGGGGAAGTTGAAACCCAGTTATATAAGATCACTGAGCAAACCACTTGGCTTAAAAAGGTGGCTCCTTCTGTGGGATCTTTTTTTGACTTATTTGATTTTGATTGGTTTGGGTCTTGGGGACCATGGCTCTGAAGTGCACTCCAGACATTGGGAATTATCCTGCTTACAAGAATCATAGTAGTTTCCTTGGCATGCTGTGTTCTCTCCAAAGCTTTAAATGCATGTTTGCAGCCACTAACCACCAAGCAAATGATCTCCCTAAGACTGGACTGTCAAAAAAAGACCAAAGAGAAAGACCAACTAAAAAACCATGAACCTGAAGTCATGATCTGTGAACACCAGAGAGACTCAGCAAAAAACGTCATGACCTGTGACTGTCACAAAGAGGATATGTTAAAGCTGTGAGAACTCCAGCACGGTAGCTGAGAGTGGCACAATGCCTTACATTTTGATCCCATCTATTAGTTAAGCTTAGAATCTGATCAAAAGGAGGAAAAAAGACATAATAGCCCCAAAATAGAGTCACTTGTGCTAAGCCCCATGTCAGCAAACCAAGACTTAACACCTGACCTCATTGCAATTTCAGTCTCTCCCAGGAATGTGACTTTTAACCAAGTCAATCTGGAATTACTTGGTCAGCACTAGTGAGGTCATCTACTTGATAGACACCCAACCTTCCCCCAAAGGAAGGTGACTTTGCCGGAAACATTCACTCTTTGCAGGACATTTTCTTTTTTCTGCCCTTTTGTGCCTATGAAAGTCTTCTGTTTTGTACAGTTCCTTGGACCTCCTTTCCACTTGCTAGATGGGATACTGCCCAATTCATGAATCATCGAGTAAAGCCAATTAGATCTTTCAATCTACTCAGATGAATTTTGTTTTTTTAACAACAGACAGACTCAGAATCATAGTGAATCAATAGCAGTGCCCAAGTTTCCTGCCTCCTAGCTCCAGCTAGCTCCCTTGGCTACTTAAAGCCAAAGAAGCAAAACTCTGCTCCCTGACTGGAGTAGGACAATGATGCAGGCTGAGGACAGGCTCTTGTCTCCATCTCAGTTCTCTTCCGTCGGGGGAGCACCGTATTGGGCAGTGGCAATTACAGCATCTGTTTTCTTGGCAGTTCAATTGAGGTGATGCTGAGAACAAGCACATGCAAGAAAGCTAGGTAAGGAAGGAAAGATAGAGCTGGGGACAGTGGTGAGACTGGTGGAGAATTCGGGATGGGGCAGAGAGGGAAGTGCTCTCCTTAACGCAGGGTCATGGGCCCTTGCCTCTGCCCTGCCTTGACCTGCTATGCATGCTGGCTGACTAATAAAAGCCAGCAGCTGTGCTGGCCAGGGGACCAGATACAGGCATGCTGTGTCCAGAACCGCCCCGTACAGGCTTGCTTCCTTGCATTCCCTTCACCTGTGCTCCTCAGTCTCTCTTAAAATGGTTCAGAATTCAAACATGAGAAGGCTTTCCCATGCATACACAGGCAAATACATGAATGTGTGTGTGTGCATGCATGCTGCACATACATGTGTATTTTTCCCTAATGCCATCTTCAGTCCTCTCATTCCCCACCTCCCATGACTGAACTAGATGCTTTCCAAGCCCTGGGTCTCCCTCCAGTAGACCTCTTCCAGGGTAAAAAGGATGGGGGCTTTTTAATCTTTGGGAGATTCCTCCTCTCGGAGGTCCTGTTATTCTTCAGTCCTGTAAGAATCCTGACCTACCAGCCACCATGTGCCCCATCCCAACCTTGACTCCAGCAGAGGCTCCCACAGCGGAGGTTATGATCGAGGGAGACTTTGTCCTGTGTGCCCCTGTTATCACTGAGATTACCTATTATGAATGAAGTTTCCCTGCAGCAGCTTGCTTGTGCCTTATCTTGGTCATGTGTTAATGGTTTCTTCCTCAATTAGAGTAGAGCTCAAAATGCACTCTTGGCTCTTCTGGAATATCTGTGTGCTCTTGGATTGTCTTTGGTACTGAGAGGGAAAGGCATTTATGCCCTTGGTGGGTCTCTTGGCCTTCTTGCTGCCCTACCACGTGCCAGAGACCCCTAGGAGAAAGAAAAGATCAGCAGCATCAAGAGGCCAGACTGGGCTGCTGACCGAGTTAGTATGCAAGCTGGGTCCTTGCCACTCTCCTGACTTACTCCCATTGTCTGTTGTGGCCTGGTCCCTAGAAGGGACTTCTGTATCCCTCTGAGTGTTGGAACTACTCTCAGAATTTGGGGTCTATCGTAATGGGAGGGGTTTGAGCTGGGGGTGACTTGTTTAGGATGTTGCAATTGGAGGGCGCTGCTTGTGCACTGTTTAACATCTGGCTAAAGCTCATTCCTGTGCTGGGCCTGAGAAGGTCCTCTTGTGAGGCTTGTGTCCATCACACTGTCGATAAAGCATCCTGGGATTTCTGCAAGCCTGAGTGGACTAGTTTTTCATCATATTCTGTCCTCACCAGGCTACAGCCAGGGAGTTGAAGTGTGACAGGTCAGGCCAGCCAAGGCTGGATTAAATATTAACACAGCTGTCATCGCCGATCAGAGAAGCCAGTGTCCCCAAGCCAAGCTGCAGAGCTGTTTGGTGGCCCCAGGCTGGCCAGTAGACATGGCTCAGTTTGCCCAGGTCCTGGCTGAAATAGGTGACTTTGGACGCTTCCAGGTACAGCTGCTAATACTGCTGAGTATCCCCAACTTCCTGTGTGCTTACTACATGTTTGCCCAGGTCTTCATGATCCAGGATGAGGCCCACCACTGCTCAGTGGCCTGGGTCAAGAACCACACTTTGAACCTGAGTGCTGCTGAGCAGCTGACACTGAGCGTGCCTCTGGATGCTGCAGGCGAGCCTGAATCCTGCCTCATGTTCCGACCGCCCCCCGACGGTGCCAGCCTGGAGGACATCCTCAGCCACCGCTTCAACGAGACACAGCCTTGCGAGGCAGGCTGGGAGTATCCTGAGGACAGGCCCCTGTCCCTAAAGAACGAGGTAGGGCTGCCCTTCTGCTGGTCTGCCTCTTTGGGGTTGGTCAGCAACTCTGTCTGGCCTTCTGCCCTCAGCGACTGGTCTTGCCGCTTCTGTGTCTGCCCTTAAGCACCCATGCCCGAATGGTGGACCATTGGGGTGACTTTCTTTTTTCTTTTTGCCACTCATCCTGCTTTTCTCTTTGTCCTCCAACTATTGGCCCCTCTCCCTCTCTCTCCATTTTCTCTGGTTTGTCTGCCCATCTATCCATGCATGTTTCCCTATCCTTTTGTTTGTCCCTCTGCCTGTCTGCCCAGTTGTCTGCCTTTCTGTCTGTCCCCTCCTGCTTTCCTGTCTTTGTATCTTTCTCTCCCTGCAGCGTTCCCATCTATCGGTCCCTTGGCCTTTGTCGTTCAGTCGGCTCTTGCGCTCTGCCTGCTTACCTGGCTTCTGGTATCCCTGTCCACTTGTCTGCCCTCCTGCTTGCCTGCCTGCCGTGGGCCTCCTGCCTTCTAGCTGCTCTCTCTGGAGCTATGCCTGCCTGCCCTCTGGGGCACCGGAGGGCGCAGATGACAGTACCTGCTCTGCTAAACTCATTTTCTTGGGAAGGAGCCAGGCAGATAAACAGATTCCCATTCCAGCCACCTGAGCAAGAAGGGCTCCCTGGAAGCATCCGTGCCCACTTTGCTGCTTCCCAGAAGCTGGGACTGGGGCGCAGAGGAGAGAGATGACTTGGTCAGGGCAACCCAGTGAGCTGATCGTGGAGGTGGGGCTCCCACTCAGCTCCCTGCAGGAGCAGGAAAGAGCACAGATGGTCCAGAATCCTGAGGCATGGGCATTGTTGGTTGGGGGGGTGGTCTGGACAACTCACCTTGTTGGTGGCGAATACCGAGCCTTTGTGGAGAGGGGAATCAGAGTTCAGAGGTTAAACATTCATTTTTTTACCTCCATGAGTAAAAAAGTATTTACTTTTTAGAGGCTCTCAGAGGATGATGCTTTAACCAAAGGCATTCACATTTTTTTTAAAGATTTTTTTTTTTTTAAGTAATCTCTGCACCCATTGTGGGCCTCGAATTCACAACCGTGGGATCAAGAGTTGCGTGCTCTACCAACTGAGCCAAACAGGTGCCCCAGGCATTCACTTTTTTAAATGTGACCAGAAACTTGCCCCCAGAACCCTTGCAGCCTGAGAATATGTCCTGCTTGTCTTCTTCCTGACCCTCTACCTCATTCTGCCCCACAGGGGTGTAGGCAGCCTAGGACCTCTCCCAGCAAAGCCCAGGCTGGTCCTCATTGGCCTCTCCATGTCCCCAGCATCACCCTCGTGGTAGGGCCAGCCTCCACTGGTCCTCAGATGCTGTGGGTGCCTACCTCCACGCATGCTCAAACTCTGCCCACCTGCCCAAAAACCATCCTTGTTAAAGCCCAGGCAAACAACCAGACTGCTTGGAGCCAACTGTAGTCCTGTTCATACCCTGTGCCAGACTGTTTGTGTACTTTTATTCAGCCAGAGCTCCCTGAGTGTTTACTGTACAGGGAACAGCCCAAGGAGGGAGGTACCTTGTTCTCCTTAACTGAGGATTTGGGATTCCCCTCTGTCTTGAATCATCAACCTAGCTAGCACTGGGGTTGGGCCTTGGACCTCTTGTCCTTCCCTATCATGTTTCTCCTGCTCCAACCCTCCCGAGGACTTCGATTCTCAAGAGAATGTATACCTTTGGTACTTTGTGCCCTACACCAAATGATAACTCCAGCTTCGCTTCGAGAGCTACATTGGTGTGAAATCTTCTACCTCTGTTTCCCATCTACGAGGAGGGGCTCTGCCACACCAACTCAGGGGACTCTCTCTGAGCTGACATCCCAACTTCCCTTCCCCCCTGAGGAAGAAAGTTACTGGTTATAATAACCAGCAGCTTCACAATCAAATTGAAATTCAAACAGGCCTAATTTGAGGAGAAAAGAGCATGCTGCCTTATAGGCTATGTGTTCTTAAAGAAGAAAGTATGTTTCTACTTCTCAGTCTACCTCCCAACATTTCCTGGGGGTCCATCCATGGTAAAAGAAAATATGACTCCCAGCCTTGTCCACATGAACTTCTAGATAGGGAGGAAAATAGACTTGGAGTGAATAACAACAGCGTGATCCATCCTGGGACCAGAGAAGGGGCAGGAATGGGATGGAAGGGGAATCAGAGAGAATAGCCATTTCTAGGACTGGAGGCATGAAAATGCATGGCACGTTTGAGGAATGCTGACATACAAAGAGGTTAGGAAATGGGCAAGAGCCGGCTCTTAAACCATCTTAGACACAGAGCTGAGGAATTTGGGCCCTCTCCCAGAGACCAAGGGGAACCACCAAAGCTTTCGGAATGGGGGAGGGAGATGTGACAGGTGTGTACCAAGAATGGGGGAGGGTGTCTGTGTGCCTCTGTGGCAGGCCACAGACAGAACCATCCACTGTGGGTATTAGGGCTGGGGAGGATCATGGCTGGCGTTCCAAGAGAGAGTCCTCTTGTCTCTTATTCCCTCTGCAACATGATCCACCACTTCTTGGTACCTCTCTAAGCCTTGGTCTCTGTGGCTGCGCAGTGGGAATGATAAGCCTTTATGTGGTTAAAATGAGGATTTAATGAAATAAGGGGTATATAAACTCTAAGGAGGTGGTGCATGGTCACCACTGCATAGGGGCACCAGCCTTGGAAGACTCCCTTGGATTGGCCTACCCGTGCCTTCAGTCTGAGATGTCTGTCACCAGGTGTGACTTTCATGAGCACGGCGGCCAATGTACCCTCTGCTGAGCTAACATTACTGAGGGCTTCCTGGGTGACAGCCACTGTGCTGATAAGCATGTTACATGTGTCAATGCCTTTATTCCTATTGGGGGACACTACATAGTATATTTTATCCCCATTTTGCACATGGGAAACCAAGGCACCAACAGATGGGCTAAGAGGCTCAAAGTCACACAAAGTTGCTCAATTCAAACTCCAGAGGCTGACAGCAGCAGGCCTTTATTTATTATATATTTTAAAGAGTGTCTAACTGCAAAGGCAATCTGTGGTTGCTAAATAAAACCAAACAAACTAGAACTAGGTGGAATAAGTTCAAATCCCCTGTCCTGCCTCACTTCATTACTAAGGGGCAAGCAGTTAATCATTTGACATAATATTGAAAATTAACAGTTGTTGAGAACAGAAGTATGAGCACAATGGTATCTCCTGGACTGACTAATTTCTTGCTAAAAGTTATTTTGACTGATGATGATTGGCTAGTTGTCTATCTGTAGGTATTAGTTCATTTATTGATTCATTCAGTAAAAATTCTCTTCGCTTTAACTCCGTTTCAGTCCTTGTCTGGGGCAAAGGGGGATGTCTGAACTCCATTGTCATCTAGCAGCGGGACCTTGGATAATGTGTGTAACCCCTCCTCCCCCGGGGGAGTGTACTAGTAAATCAAGGATTGTTGTCAGAATTAGATAACACATGTGAGGCATTTAGCAGACTACCCAACACAGAGTGAGCCCTCCAAAGGCATTAGTCATTGTGAAGCTATCTCCATGAGCTGTGGAGGAGAGCTCACGAGTCTGTTCCTCCCTCAAACATTCACGAACGGAGCTGAGCTGTGAGCAGGGGACACAGAAGTCCCTGAGGGGCCCACAGACCAGTGGGGTTGGGGGTCAGTCACAGAGGCTTCCTGTATGCACACCTGCAGTAGACGTGTGCGGAGTTATCCGGACATGCATATTTTCTCCACTCAGTTTCTCAGTCCATCTGTTAGGTTCTCTCTCTGAGTCTCCAGGTGGGTTGCCCCATCTCCGTGTGTGCACTTGAGTGAATGCCTACACACACGTGCATGTTCCTCCATCCTAATCTCCTGCAAGTGGCATGTGAGGGCTCCTTGGGATTCTCACCGCCTGTGAATGATTAGATTTTCAGAGAGATTTTGCAGCCAGATGAGAAAACTTGAAGAAGCCCAAGTAGGTCACAGGGGCGCTCTGGCTGTGGGGAAGAGGCCCCATTTGTCAGGAAGCAGCAATGAGTCCCATGTCAGAGGTTCCAAACTTTGGATTCTTAATGTGTCAGTAATTCTCCATAGTGTCTCCAGGCCAGAAGAAAACCTAACAGTTTTATGTATTAACTAATTAGGTCCAAACAATGTAATAAGTAATTATGTTCCAACAACCTAGTAGCTGTTTTAAGAAATAATATGCGTGCAGGGCGCCTGGGTGGCTCAGTCGGTTAAGCGTCTGCCTTCGGCTCGGGTCATGATCCCAGGGTCCTGGGCTGGAGCACCGTGTCCTCAGGCTTCTCGCTAGGCAGGGAGTCTCCTTGTTCCTCTCCCTCTACCGCTCCTCCCTGCTCGTGCTCTCTTGCTCTCACAAATAAATAAAATCTTAAAAAAAAAAAATAACGCATGTAACTGAGAGAAAATATTTTTCATTTTTAAATAAATACAATCAACTACTAATAGGATGTATGTACCTATTGCGAGCCGCACGACGTTTCCATCCTGGAACATTTTCCGCTCCACATGGTGCTTGCTGTTTTCAAAACAACTGCCAGAAATACAGCTTCACATAGATATGATGTCCCTGAAAGGAATGTGGCATGATCTCATGTTGAAACAGAACCGTCCTTACTTGGCAGTTCTTGTAATATCAGATGGATGTTAAGTATTGATTGCTATATTTCCCTTTAAAATGTCAGATATTGTTCATTGCCCCCATGAATTTATTCTGGTGTCCTGGGGTGCCTTTGCGCACAGTTCGGGAACCATGGGCATCTGTCCCGAGAGTTTTGTAAGTGGGTGGGCTAGATGACAAAGGACTTGCTGTCAGCTGCCCCAAGTTCACATCTGCCTGTGTCTGCCTCAGTTCAACCTAGTGTGTGATCAGAGGCACCTGAAGGAGACCTCACAGTCGGTGTACATGGCCGGGCTCCTCGCTGGGTCTCTCATCTTTGGGCCTCTCTGTGACTGGTAAGAACCTTGACCAGCTCACCCCCGCCCTAGCACGCTCCTGTGCTCCTGGCACAGTTTCCCTCCATGCCTTTCACTGGTGTCCAGGATAGGGCAATGCATTCTCTGTCAGCTAGGGCACCCAGGGCAGGCCTGGGTCTCCCTGCCATCCTTCCCCTCGGAGACAGGCCCTCAAGGCCCTGCCCCTCTGTTACCCCAGGATCGGCCGCAAGGCCACTATCCTGGTACAGCTACTCCTCCTCGCCCTCATCGGCCTGGCCACGGCCTTTGTGCCCAGCTTCGCGCTCTACATGGTCCTGCGTTTTGCCATGGCTACTGCTGTCGCTGGGTATGCCTTCAGCAATGTGACCCTGCGTGAGTATCTGGGTCCTGAAGCCTTGAACCATGATGTGAAGCCTTGGGGTCTGAGCGGGCCACACGCCCAGACTGCCTGTGGGAGCCTTGTCAGGCACCCATACCACAAGTGGTCACACACAAGGGGGACTGAGGCCCACGTGGACAGAGGGGCATCCAGGGAGTGCCAGGGAGGGAGAGGGCAGGGGCTGGCCCGGTCTCAACCTCTCTGTTTGCACAGTTACAGAGTGGATGGGGCCCTCGAGGCGGACTCAGGCCGTGGTCCTGGCCCAGTGCGCCTTCTCCATGGGGCAAATGGCGCTAGCAGGACTCGCCTATGGCATCCGGAACTGGAGGCTTTTCCAAATAGCTGGCACGGCACCGATCTTGCTGCTCTTCTTCTACTTCTGGTGAGGAGGTACTTCCCAGGAGCAAGCCACCCCCGGGCTAGTTGTGCAGAGGTGTGGTTGGAGCGTAATAGTCTCCAAAGTGCAAGGGGTGTGGGGTTCTGTATGCCCTGGAGCCCCTGGGGGAGTGGGGGGCTCTGCGGTCACAGCCATTCTGGACCTGCAGGGCTCTGCCAGAGTCAGCACGGTGGCTTCTGACCCGGGGGAGGGTAGAGGAGGCTAAACAAGTGATCCAGAAGGCAGCCTCGGTCAACAAGCAGAGAGTCTCCCCAGAGCTCCTGAGCCAGGTACTTACAGGCTGAGCCCAGCCCTGCCTCTGCCCCTGGCCTGCACAGGCCTTTCTGCCTGGCCCCTCACTGTGCATCTCCCTACCAGCTCGTCCCAGAGAAGACAGGCCCCTCAGGGAATGCCCGGGATCTGTTCAGGCACCCCCAGCTCTGGAAGGTGACCCTGATCCTCTTCTGTGTCTGGTGAGTACACCAGGGCCCAGCCCCCCCCCCCCCCGCCCCCCCCCCCCCAGGCTCACGTCCAAAGCCCTGAGGCAGCTGGGGTATGGTGACTGTCTGTCTGTCAGGGATGGGCTGTGTGGCATTACTGGTTTCTCCTTGGCTGTGCTCCTGTCTCCTGCCGGGACTCCCTCTCCGGCAGGCTCCCCCTGAGAGTGATGGTTTCTCATCACCCAGCAGTCACAGGGATTCCTGGACACTTTGTAGGTTTGTGGACAGCCTGGGCTACTTTGGCCTGAGCCTCCAAGTCGGTGACTTTGGCCTGGACATCTACCTGACGCAGCTAGTCTTCGGAGCAATTGAGGTGCCTGCCCGCTACTCCAGCATATTCATGATGCAGTGGTTGGGCCGCAAGTGGAGCCAGATGTTGACTCTGGTTCTGGGTGGCCTCATGTGTATTGCCATCATCTTTGTCCCAGCAGGTACCAGGGCTGGCTCTCCCACATCCTTGTCCCCCCCGCCGCCCCAGCTACCAGAAGCCCATCGCCTCCCTTCCAGGAGCAAGGGCTCCCCTGGGGTCCAGGTGCAGACGGGAGTCTGGGAGGGCTGGGCAGGGGCAGGGCCCAGGGTGTGGGGCTGTCTCCCAGCACGTGGCTGACCAGCATCCTCCACTAGATCTGCCGGTGGTGGTCACTGTGCTGGCTGTGGTGGGCAAGTTTGCCACGGCCGCCGGCTTCACCATCTCGTACGTGTACACTGCTGAGCTCTTCCCCACCGTCATCCGGTAAGGGCTGCTCCTCTGCTCCGATACCCTGACCTTGGCCATGCCTCTCTGCCCTCACCACTGTTCCACAGACCGCTTATGAGGCTGGCTCGGGCAGCACTGCTGGGGGCCGCGACAGTCTAGCCCCCATGTTATCCTAGCAGTGGAGGACAGATACAGAAGCAGGCCATGCCCTGGCCTTGTCAAGACTGGGATGGAGGAAGTCAAAGAATGAATGGCTGAGAAGGAGGACTCAGGTGGTGGTTGGGGGGTTAGGCAGGAGGTATAGTCTTTGATCTGAGATTTGGCGGGTGAGCAGGAGGGCAGCAAGTAGGCAGGCCTAGAGGTGGAAGAAGCATGGCACCCGGCTGGACAACAAGCAGTGTGGGGAAGTGGAGACAAAAGGCTGGCAGGGCCGGGCGAGCCAAGGGAGCCAGTGGGGCCATAAGGAGGGCCTGGGCTCGCCCAAGATAGAGCTGGGGTGGAGCTGTGACCTGGAGTTGTGGCTGGGTCTGCTCAGCTTGTACTGGCCTTCCCCCAGGCAGACGGCCATGGGGCTGATGGGCATCTTCTCGAGGACTGGGGGTATCCTCACCCCTCTTGTGATCCTGCTGGGCGAGTACCAGGCAGCCCTCCCCATGCTCGTCTATGGCAGCCTCCCCGTTGGGGCAGGCTTACTCTGTGCCCTGCTGCCGGAGACGCGTGGCCAGCCCCTGAAGGACACCATCAAGGACCTGGAGCAGGGGCCGTACCCTCGGTGAGCTGCTTGCTTTCTCTGAAGCCCAGACCTCTTCCTCACCATGTGTGCACTGTTGCTTAGAGCCCAGTAGGGGGCCCTCAGGAGCCACAGACATCTGACTGACTGACTTTGGGCCAGGGGAGGGGTGGTGAGGGACACGGTCGTGGGACTAATTCTTGGCCAGTCAGTGATGGCCTCCTGTTCGCTCCAGGCCTCCAGAATCAGTACCTTCAGGAAAGGAGACAGAGGCCTCAGGAAGAACTTCCAGCCCAGGGGTGACTTTTGTGAGCAGTACGTACCTCTGATTGTGTCTCTGGAGCCCAAGCGGCAGCAGGGAGCTGCCTGAACACTCCCCGGAAAAGGCTGGGCCTGCCCGCGAGCCCTGCCTCACAGATGGGGACAGCACACCCTGGCCTGGCCCCCATGCCGGCCCCTGGCCGCCTAGTCCCGAAGCACCCGGGTGGGCCTCCCTCTTCTCGTTGCTTCCCGTCAGCTTTCTCACCCCAGCACCCTCCCAGACCCCGTGCTGGGGTAGGGTCTTAGGTGTATCGTGGGCTTCACTTGTTCTCTGTCAGTCTTGTGGGAGTATGGCTCCTCCGGTCCCCTCAGTCTGGGATCCCCCTAGCCCTGGAAACAGTTAAGCTCAGAACAGAGCAGATGCTATGGCCTTTCCAAGGATGTGGCAGTAGGAGGAGAGAGAGTTTGAAGCTGGGACCTCCCTCCAGGCCAGTGGGAGAAAAGGCTGTGGCTGGGGAGAAGGTTGTACTTCCTTCTAGTGGCTGGCCAGGCCCCGCTAGCTCTGGTGGGGCTGAGGAGAAAATAAAAGGCAAGCGGAGGGCAAAAGCCAAACTGACCCTCTTACATCTCCCCTCCCCCCAAGATGTGAGGGGGATACGTGTGACATTTCTCAGGCACTCCTGACTGCCCAAGATGAAGGAAGGAGAAAGCAAATGGTCACCTGATAAAGATCACAGTTTTTACAAGAAAAGCACAATCTTGAGAGTAGTCAGACCTCCAGAAACCTATAGACTCAATTTCCTGGAGCCCTAACATCACTTCCCCCGTCCATAGGATAAAAAAAAAACCTATATAATCAATCACTCCTCACACATAGAATGCATCCTTTTCTGTCCAAGGGGTCCTGTCACGGTGCTTTAATAAAATCACCTTTTTTTTTTTTTGCACTGAAAAAGTCTCAAGAATTCTTTCTTGACCATTCACTCTCAGACCCAAACTCCAAATGATATCATGTTGGTGCCCAGTGTGGGGCTCGAGCCGTCTCATCTGGACTTCGAGACTTGGTGCAAACTTGGTGAATACTTCCTCTTCTGGAACTCCCTTTCATCACAGGGGCTTCTCAAGGAGTATGGTCTTTTTTTTTTTTTTTTAAGATTTTATTTATTTATTTAGAGAGAGAGCACATGAGAGGGGGGAGGGTCAGAGGGAGAAGCAGACTCTCTGCCGAGCAGGGAGCCCGATGTGGGGACTCGATCCAGGGACTCCAGGATCATGACCTGAGCCGAAGGCAGTTGCTTAACCAACTGAGCCACCCAGGCGCCCTCAAGGAGTATGGTCTTACTGGAACACTTTCATGTCCATTGCTCAGGCTGCAATCCTCTAGTCCGTGGCTACTCAATGGGGAGGAGAAAGATTGCCTTTTGGCTGGAAGTTCGCACCCTGGTCGGGATGGTAATAAGACCCAGAAACTTGATGCCCTCTCTTCGTTTCTGTCCTTATACAAAGTTGTCTTGGGCAGGGAACAGCCACCTCAGTCACTAGGACGGCTGCCAATCTTAAGACTCTTGTGTGAGGTTTCCTCCTCATTGGTCTAATGTGATCCCCTTCATGTCTCTGGTCTCGCTTCTTTTGGTCATGAGACATTTGCGCAGAGCCAGCTGAAACTTGTACCCGATTGGATCAAAACTCAGCTGGGGACCATTTCCTAGGGAAGCCGGCTGTAAGGACCACACCTATTGGAATGGCGCTTAGATCATGGTGGATTTCTTTCTTTATTGTTTCCTGCCAGTGTTCCCTACTAACTATTTAAATTACAAAATTGGGTAATTTCCTCCTTATAAAACTTTTTTTAATGTTTTCCATGGGTTAAAAATGGTAGGTTCTTCATGGCATGGCATTTCGGTTCCATTCATCAGCACCCATTTGTAGTGTAGGATGCAATGGGGAAACCGGCATCCCTCCTACAAGGCAAGGTGTTGTTCGTAGTGACTCCTTAGAGGGACGCCTCTGGTCATTTTGACACCAGGAACCTCTGACATTTCCTGTGTGGGATGCCACCTGGGAGATAGGGAGGAATTTTTGATAGTGGACCTTTGGTACTTTTCTACGAACATGGGATCTTCTTTAGTCCCCAAGGATTCTCCTTTGGGATGACTTTTAATCCACTGGAATCAATTTGGATTACAAAATTTAAGAAAGAGAAAACTGATCTTCTATAACATCAAGTGACTTCAGTACTCTCTAGGAGATGAGGGAAAATGGCCTTTTAATGGGACATTAAGCTTCAATACTATCTCTCAGTTAGATCTCTTCTGAAGAAAACAGGGAAAATGGACTGGGGTACCCTATGCCCAGGCCTTCATGGTCCTGAATCAGGATCTGGACCTAAGGGCCTCTTGGAGAATGTACCTAACCACCAATCACTTTTATAACCCCCCTCGGGACAAACTGGATGATGATTGTTTAAGTAGGCCCATTCCTCCTAATAAACCTGGGCTACTAGAGGAATCAACTGACCAGTCCAAACAAAGAGGACACCAGCTCTGTTACTATCCTTCCTCCTTATAAACCTCAAGATCCCTCTGCTCCCAGCCCAGCTGGACTTACCAGGAGCAGAACTCCCTATCTTCCAGGACTGGATTGCATCATTTTAGGGAGGTTGCTAATGGAGAAACAGGCACAATTAGAGTCCATGTCCCATTCTCCATGGCAGACTTGACTCAGATAAAACAACTATTAGGACGATATTCTGAAAACCCTTCTCAATGTATTGGGGGCTTCCAACAATTGTCTATTATGTTTGATTTGACTTGGCAGGATATAGCCATCATATTAACTCACTGTTGCACCCCTGAGGAAAAGAACCGTTATCTCTGGGCAGGGGCTCAAGAATTTCCTGATGAACTAGCAGCCAGAGATAGAGATCGTTATCCAGTAGGAGGCACTGCTGTTCCCAATCCTGAACCTCACTGGAATTACCAAGAAGATAGGGAAGGGAAGGAGGAGACCATACAATCACCTGTTAATAGAAGAAATGAAGAAAGGATTCTCTAAACCAGTAAACTTTGATAAAATTTGGGAAGTTACTCAAGGAGCCGATGAAAATCCAGCTCTGTTTCAGGGTCACTTGATGGAAGCCATCCATCAAATCTGGACCCAATCTCACCCGAGGGAACAACTACCCTAACCCTAACCCTAACCATTTTATAAGTCAATCGGCACCTGACATCAGCCAAAAAGTGACCAAAATGGCTTTAGGTCCTTAAGCCCCCACCTGGCGAGTATTAGAGGTAGCTACTGGAGTCTTCAATAATAGAGATATGGCTTTATAGCAGGAAAAGGACCGGAGAGCTAAATTGCAGGGTAAAGTACAGGCTCAAATATTGACTGGCACTATTGCAGATTCCCCACAACACCAGACCCACCAGCTGCCAAAGAAAAAGTCAGTATCAGACACAGGACAAGGTAAGACCCCGTGCTACAGGTGTGGCCAAATCGGACATTGGAGCCAAGAATGTCCAAACAAAGGCTCTCCACCAGGGCCATGTCTTGTCTGCAAGAAAAAAGGACATTAGAAGGGAGACTGTCCTCCTTTCCAGAGAGGGAGGAAGACAGGAACCCGCTTCCCCACCCAAGAGCTGAGAGAGGACTCTATGTCTGCTCCAAATCAAAGCTTCAGGCTTGCATTCTCTTCAAAGATCCTCGATCCCCTGCCCCACGTTCGGCTCACACTTAACAGGGCGGCCCGGGAACCAGTGGTGGGGCAAGAGAGGAGGCTGGGTGTTCCTCTCCTCGCCTTCCTCCTCCCTTTCCCCTTCTGCCCCCTCTGGCTCCTGTGGGGAAGGCTCTTACAGGGCGAGGGGAAAGGGTAACGGTCTTGCTCCTTAGCTGCTGCTGGCCATAGCTCTTTCCCGGCTCTTCCACGGGGACATCTTGCTGGGATTTCTCAGCGGTGCTCCCAGGACCCCTGCCTGTTCCTGCATCTGAGCAGCGTACTCCCAGGTGACCTCTTGGGCCCCTCTTCAGCTCCTGCCCCCCAGCACTGCTCCCCACATAGTCTGTCCTGCTGCCAGCATACCTGACAGCCCTCCTGGGTGGGGTCCCATCAAGTGACCGCAGGCCAGGCTGTCTTCCCCAGCAACTACCTGGCCCACGAGAGCACCATACATCTTTGCACCAGCAAACGGTGGAAAAACGCTTTCCTGGCCTCGGCCCCCACTTGCCCTGCCTCCCAGGTAACCCCAGCTAGCCTCCCAGCAGACGGTGAGGTTCAGCGTCTCCACCTCACAGGCAGCCCCCCGCCTGAAGAAGGAGGGTTCCTTCAGAACCTCTCTCCCTCTCTCCCACTCACCTTCTCCTATAGAGGCTGGGGAGGGTGGTAGGTGCTGGGCTAGTTTCCCCATCTTGTGAATCTGGCATGGAAGGTGTCCAGCACCTCTTTTGAATACACGGATATTTTTTACTCACAGACTTGGCTTTGAAGTGACGGGAAAAAGTTTTTAGCTTCCTGCTACGTACCCAATCATGGAATCCCAAGCTAAAGTCACCCACTGGGGACACTTGAACGTCTTTTGTGGCACAGTGTGGCACCCAGGCTAAACCTGCCTGACTGGGAAAACCTGCATGGGATTTGGAAAGCGGCCAGTTCAAAGCCAGAGGCAGTTTTCTCTATAATGTGGACACTCGCATTCTTTTGAAGCAGAATGATCTCTGTTCCTGGAAAGAGACTTGAACAGATCCTTTAGGACATAAGCATCAATGCAAAGATTCACCTATTGCCTTTGGGCAGGTCTTTGAGCACATTCTTTTTCTTTTTCTTTTTCTCTCTCTTTTTTTCTTTTAGGGATTGTAGGGTGTTGGGGGAAATATTTTTCTTCTTTTTTTTTTCTCTCTTTAAGATTTTATTTCTTTATCTGACACAGAGAGAGAGAACCCAAGCAGGGGAGTGGCAGGCAGAGGGAGAAGCAGGCTCCCCATCAAGCAGGGAGCCCAAAGCGGGACTTGATTCCAGGACCCTGGGCTCATGACCTGAGCCGAAGGCAGACGCTTAACTGACTGAGCCACCCAGGCGCCCCGGAAAGACTTTTCTTTGTATGTATTAAAAAGCGCCCTGTGGGGCGCCTGGGTGGCTCAGATGGTTAAGCGTCTGCCTTTGGCTCAGGTCATGATCCCAGGGTCCTGGGATCGAGTCCCGCATCGGGCTCCCTGCTCCTTGGGAGCCTGCTTCTCCATCTGCCTCTCTCTCTCTCTCATGAATAAATAAATAAAATCTTAAAAAAAAAAAAAGCGCCCTGTGATTTGTCCTATGTAAATGGGAAATGTTTGTCTTTTAGCAGTTGCTGACAGGAGGTCAGCAGCTGAGACCCTGGGGCCTCAGGTGAGAAGATATGCAGGCCAATCTTAACTCTATCCTGAGGAGCATGAGAGAAAGGGGGCCTGATGGGACGAGGAAGTTTCCAGTACAGGCTGGACCATGGCGGTTCTCCATAGACTGTGCTGATCAGAGAAAAGCCCAGATTTGGGAGACACACTAGCAATGAGCCCTTATGGTTAGCTGTATGGAGGCGATGACACAGCTCAGCTCTCAGGCCTTGGTGACAGGAGCCTGCTACTTAGGCTTCCCATTGTAGAGTGGATGATTTCATAGGTCCCTTTACACAAATTCTCAAGGATTCTAATCTTGAGTGTGAAAGGCAGAGGGCTCTGTGTGTCTACCGCCGAGGTCCAAGGAGATAGGAAAGGAGTGCCAACCCCCCACCCCACCCCCGCACCCCTGGGTCTCAGGACTGAGTCTTGGAGCATGGCCCTGACTTACACACCCTGGGCTTGCCTCACTGGCAAACCCACTCACCCAGTGCTCTGTCTTGGGGAGCATGCCGGACCCAGAAATGCACAATTCATCTGCAGCTATTGAACCGCGCCTCTGCATCCCCCTCCCCGGTGCCTTGGGAGAATGCTGTGGATGAGGAGAAGATACAGTGGGGTTACACAAGGCAGCTGATGCAGGTGCGGGGCCTGGAAGGCCCCCCAAGGACGGGCATCTAGGAGGAGAAGGAAGTGCAGGCCAGATGAAGAGCAGGCAGGCAGGAGGTGCAGAAGGGCATTGGGGAGGAGACCAGGAATAGGCACATGTGGAGCTGGAAGGAGTTCTGGGAGCTTGAGAAGGCACACTCAGGTGGGGCTTAGAAGACCACACATGTTTAATTTCAAACTTTATTCTGAGAGCAATAAAAGGCACTGATGGTCTTTTTCTCTTGGAGTGGCCTGAGCAGATCTGTATTATAAAACTCACCCTATCTGAAGAACGTGTTGGAAGAGGGCAAAAGCAGGGGCAGAGCAACGAGGTAGGGCATCATTACAATGAACTCAGTTGCACACATTTACCACCTCATCTTATCTGATGATTAAATGGGGGTGATGGCCGTGGACTGCAGGGACCAGGAGGCAAACACCTGATTGGTGTCCCCCCCGCCCCGCCACCGCCAGCCTGCGCCGTGGGCTCACAGCTCAGCTTGACCACCGACCTGCATAGCTTGTGTCCCCACATGAATGTCCAAAGCCTCGGGAGTCCTGCTCTTCTCCGGCCAACTCCTCTACTTCGACGCTGTGTCCCCCTGATCTGACTCCATACCCGTGCTCTCAACCCCGTGTCTCTGGAAATTACTGCCACAAATCCAGAAGAAGCCCCGGTGTCCTCAAGCCCTCCTACAGGATACCGGTCTCCTGCCTCTTCCTCTGGGCACTGGGGCCTCGGGGCCGGGGTCCCGTGCCCTCGGGGCTGGGGAGCTGGGCCAAGAACCTCCTGCTCCTCGCTGTGGCTGCTCTGTGGCTTCCCTCTGGCAGAAACCTCCGAGTCCTGACTTCTAGCTCATTCCCCTAAAACTCCCTGGTTCACCGCTGTCCCTCCCACCCCAGCTCCTGCTGTCCTCTTGGGAAAATACACGTCCATCTCCAAAGTCCCAACAATTGCTGGCATATACGTCAAGAAATGGAGGACCCTCTGATTCAGACAGCCTGTCCTCTGCCCGCGGCCCCCTCCTCCCGGCCCGCTTGCTCCGTTGTCCCTCTTTGCCTGTGTCTGCCCACACTGCAATGACAAAGTGCCACAGGCTGGTGGCTGAAACACACAAATGTGTTTTGTCACATTTCCGGAGGCCAGGTGCTGGCAGTGCCCGTTCTGGTGAGGGCTCTTCCTGGCTTGCAGACACGGCCACCTTCTCGCCACAACTCTCACTCGAGGGCCCCACTCTCATGACCTGACCTAAATGGAATCGCCTTCCGAAGACCCATCTCCAAAGACCATCACGCACTGGGGGCTAGGGCTTCAACCTTTACATTTGGGGGACACAAACGTTCAGTCCATAACACCATCCTTAGCCTCACCAGGCCCCCTGGGCTACTGACTTGGGTACTTTCTCCCCACCTGGGTCCTCTCTGCTCAGATTAGAGGATGTCCGCCATGGTTTTCAAGTCTACCGGGAGACAGACAGCATTTCTCCCTGTTGCCAGAAGCCTACTCCTTACCCCTTCCACTCTGGTTGTGCCCAGCTAGCAAAACCACAGCAGCGAGTGAACCCCCATTGTCGGCCTTCGCTCTCCCTGCACCCCAGATAGCTGACAGAGTCACATGCCCGGCGGGCCTATCCCGTGAATTCCCAGTCACCAGCCTCCACTGGGCTTAATAGCGCCCAGCCTTCCTACCAGCCTTTTCTAGTCAGCTTCCAACCTTCACCAGTGGCCATTTCCATCCTCCATCTGCATAGCTCCCTTCCTCCTACTTCCATTCTAACATAGACCTTCCCTCCTTTCTGGGAAAGGAGAAACCATCCTATGGCAGCTCCCTAAACTTCCCACCACCAAATCTTAAACCTACACTGCCTCAGGCCTCAACTCTGCTTCCACCTCTGTTCTTGGGTCTGAAGGCAACCGAGCGCCTCTGACTCTCCTCCCCCTCCCCCGCCCTGGGCATGGGGACCCACGATGGGCAAGTTGTGTCCGGAAGGGTAGGAGAGTTTCCCTCAGTGGGGCTTATGGGGACGGCAGGTGCTCCAGGTGCCAGAACCATCTGCCCTCATGTGGAGATTTTCCCAGCCCACCTTGCCCCATTTTGTCTCTATGGTCTGCGGCTGGAGTGGAATGGAGTAGAATGCTGCTCCTCACCATCCCTCCCCACCCCGAGGACCTCCCTGCCCCATTGTGACATTATTCCCCGGCCACTGATGGAACCCAAGAGTTCTGCTTCCAAGGGTCTGGCTGGGCCTGGATTGTGGTCAGGTGGGCCCTGGCTTTGGCGTGCGGTCCTATCTCCAGGGAGGAGGGACTTGGGGGGGGGTGTGGAAGGTGGCAATTATGATGACACCTGGCAATTGTGGGCCTGCGTTCTCAGCACAGATGTGGACAGGAGCCTGCTGGGGCCTGTTCAGCTATGCGAAGGCTGTGGAAGGAGCAGGCTGCCCTCACAGGAAATGTGAGTTCTCAGGTATGGTATTTGGCCATTTCCTGCCCTCAGATAAAGTGCTGCTCCCAGCTTTACCTCCCTTTCCTGGGCCTCTTTTGTACACAGAACCAACTGCCTGGGGCCTGCCCACCTGGCAGGGGACCGTTGGGGTCAGCAGAGGAAACAAATGCTCCAGAGCCTTGCAGACAGGCAGGGCCCCGTGAGGGGCACACTGAAGGGGACCCGGCAGGAGAAGGCTAGTTCAGCTGGCTCCAGGCCTGAAAGCCAACTCTGCGAGGAGAGTGAAGTTCCCTATCTGGGAGGTCTCTATCTACCGCCACCCCCTCCAGCCTTCCACGCATACACACTGTATTGGTTCCTGATTGCTGCTACAGCAAGTTACTACCAACACAGTCACTTCCCACAAATCTGTTACCTTCTAGTTCTGGAGGTCAGAAGTCCAAAATGGGTCTTACTAGGCTAAAATCAAACTGTCAGTAGGGCTGCATTCCCTTCTGGAGGCTCTAGAGGAGAATTCATTTTCTTACCTTTTCCAGCTTCTACGGGCTGCCCACTTTGCTTGGCTGCTGATCCCCTCCATCCTTAAAGCCAGCGATGGTCAAGTCCTAATGGATGTATCTAAAGTGTATTCATTTTCATTGTTGTATTGTATTCCATTATTTAAATATACTACACTTTATCCATTGTTCTGTTAATGGGCATTTGTGCTTTTTTTTCATATTTGATGTGTGTTATCATGAACATTTTGCTGTCCATTCCTGGATCGTATGTAAAAATGTTTCCCCAAGGTATATACCTAGAAATAGAATTGCTGGGTCATAAGGTATGCAAATATTCAACTGTATAAGACAATGCCAGATTGGTTTTCCAAGTGGAACTAGGAATAATCCTGCCAGAAATGATGACTTGGTATTGTCAGACTTCCTAATCTCGTCAGGCAAATGAGTGTAAATATCTCATTATGGTCCTGATTTGCATTTCCCTCATTATTAAAGAAGCCGAACATTTGTTCATATGTTTGTGTGCCACAGGAATTTTCTGTTCTTGAAATGCCCATTCATATCTCTCACCCAGTTTTCTATTGTCTTTTTATTATTGATTTGTAAAGTTCTTTATGCTTGATTCTCATTTTTTCCCCCAGTAATATGTGTTTGCAAACTTATTCTCCCAGTTGTGGCTTTTTTTTTTTTAATTTTAAAATTTTCATCTGCAAGTAGTCAATTTATCATTTAACAACTCTATGGTTAGCATAAAATAGCATAGCTTTTGTGTCTTGATTAAGAAATCCTCACCCAAGGGACACCTAGGTGGCTCAGTCGGTTAAGGGTCTGCCTTCAACTCAGGCCATGATTCCAGGGTCCCGGGATCGAGTCCCACATTGGGCTCTTTGTTCAGTAGGGAGCCTGCTTCTCCCTCTGCCCCTCCCCCCTGCTTGGGCTCTCTCTCTCTCTCTCTCTCTCTCTGACAAATAAAATCTTTAAAAAATTCAGTAAAACATATATTCCTTATATTATCTACTAAATAGAAATATATTTCTACTAAAGTAAAACATATATTCCTTATACTTTCTACTAAAAGTTTTGTTCTTGAAATTTAAGTCCTTAAGAGGGCTGGAATTTTTGTTTATGATGTGAGGCATTTTTCTTCCATTTCTGATCAGTCATGCTGTTCTCTTTTTCCTTCCAAACTTTTGTTTGCATAGATCTATTTCTGGGCTTTCTATTTAGCTATTCATGAACTGTTACCACTGTGTCTTTAATGAATGTAACATTATAATAAATTTTGATATCTGGCAGGACAAATCATTCCTCTCTATGATTCTTCAGAATTGTCTTAGGTATTCATGCCCTTTATTTTTCCATATTTTGCATTCATCTTGAGAAATTTCACAAAAAGTACCTTTTGGATTTTGACTGGAATTCTACTGAACCTAGAGATCAATATGGGAAAGAGTGGACGATTTTTATTCATGGCCATTGGATATCTCTCCACGTATTTTGCTTTCTCAACATATTTTTGTAAGTTTTTTTTTTTTTTTTAAGGGGGGCAGGAAGGGGCAGAGGGAGAGTGAGAGAGAGAATCTTAAGCAGGCTCCATGCCCAGTGTGGAGCTCAATGCAGGGCTGGATCTCACAACCCTGAGGTCATGACCTGAGCTGAAATCAAGGGTGGGATGCTTAACTGACTGAGTCACCCAGGCACCCCCATGTGTTCAGGCTTCTTAAGCCATTTTTTAAATTTGTGTAACAAATGAGTAGGAGATGAAATTTATTTATTTTTATTGTTTTTTTTTTTAGAGTAAGCTCTATGGGCAATGTGGGGTTTGAGCTCACGACCCCAAGATCAAGAGTTGCATGCTGTATCAACTGAGCCAGCCAAGCACCACTGACATGCAATTTTAAAAATTAAAATGAAACACACACACACACACACACACACACAGACAGACACAAATTGGGGAAAAGTCACAAATAAGTGATTCTATGGAGACAGAGTTTTTTAAAAATGCTATTCATGATTTAGTAGAATTAAGAGTTTGCTACCATGTTGTTTAACAACAATTACTTATATTGCTCATTTTCTGAGATTTCATTCCAACGAGAGCCACATATAGTTAGCTTGGTTTAATGGCTGCTGATAGCCAGACTTCCTGGAAATGGAATACATTTCCAGTTGCTATCTTGAATGAATTTTGCTTATCGTGTCATAAAATTTGGGCTCTAATGAAGTTTCTGTTATAGATGGCACACTGGATACCCTCATAATTTTCTTTTTATTCCTTTTGGTGCACATGAAGAGCCCAAAGTGACAAGGATCCCGACACAGTAAAAATTGGTGGCTTCATTCTAGGCCTTTTTAAGGCTGTAATCGATAGAGCCATTGGCACCCATCACCCCCTAACCTCCGGGGGGTTCTTGTTTCTTCTTTCTTGTTCTTGTTCTTGTTTCAAGAACAAACCGGTCCCCCACTGCATTCAGTTGTCTTCCTAGTCTCCTCCAACCTGGAAAAAATCAGCTTCATCTTTCATGCTTTGACACTTTTGGAAAGTACTAGCTAGTTATTTTGTAAAATGTTCCTAAATTTGTTTGGTGTTTTCTCATGATTGTATCAACATTATGCATTTTTGGCAAGAAGTGATGATATACCCTTCTTTTTTTTTAAAACTCAAAATTTGACTTTTTTTTTTGAAGATTTTATTTATTTATTTGACAGAGAAAGAGCACAAGTAGGCAGAGCAGGGGGCCTAATGTGGGACTTGATCCCAGGACCCTGGTGTCATGACCTGAGCCAAAGGCAGACGCTTAACTGACTGAGCCACCCAGGTGTCCTGATATACCCTTCTTAGTGCATGGTATCAAGGGGTACCCGATGTCAACATGTCCCATTACTGGTGATTTTAACTTTGATCACTTGTTTAAGTGGTGTCTGCCAAGTTTCTTCATTATAAAGTTATTGTTTTCCCCTTTGTAATTGGTAAGTATCATATGGGGAGATACTTTGAGACTCTGCAAATACCTGTTTCTCATATGTTCATCGTCTAGTTTTATATATCCATCAATGAGTCTTTTTTTTTTTTTAATTTGAGAGAGAGAGTGAGAGAGCACGAGAGTGGGGAGGGTCAGAGGGAGAGGCAGACTCCCCGCCGAGCAGGGAGCCCGATGCGGGACTCGATCCTCGGACTCCAGGATCATGACCCGAGCCCAAGGCAGTCGCTTAACCAACTGAGCCACCATCAATGATTCTTGCCTGCAATGATTACAACTCTGGTGCTTGCCAAGTGGTGATTTTCTATTTCCATCATTCCTTCTATATTATTAGTGTAGAATTCTACAGTAAGGAAGAGCCGTCCCTTTTCTCCTGTTAACTACTGTATCAGCATGGACTCAGGTATATTTAGTTTATGGGTTATAATCTATTACTATCATTATTTATTTTGTTGCTAAAATTGCCCCAGGCTTGGTTTTGGGGGACTTCTTCTGGGTAGCTTCTATGTCCTTCTGACATGCCCCTGTCATTTTGGGGGCCACTTCCTTACTTTATGGCAGCACAAAACATCTCCCCCCCTCCCCCGAATCTTGCACTTCCCCTGCTCCAGTCCTGGGATCAACCACTCCTCCAAAGAACCCTCATTCTTTTACTTAGAAACCAAGATCTGAGTACTAGGTGTGATCATTGCTATGAGGTTCACTGCTTGTGGGCCGTCTCAGTGTGCAGGGCTAGAAAATACATATCCAGCCTCTCTCTATCTCCCCATATGTGTCTGAAGTCATGAGTTCATACTGGTACCTTGGATTCCAATCCAACGCCATGGTCTTCATTCTAGTCTTCCCCTGTGCTTGGTTGTAACTCTTCTCTCTAACAGAAAGCTAGCCCTTATTACCTACAATATAGTTATTTGCTTAACTCCAGCATGTACATAAAGTTTCAGAATTGCAAGTTCATTATCCCCATGACAAACAGATGCACTAACTAGAATACATTTTTGTACAGTTCTTATCTTCAGCTTTATATCATCAACATATTATTTTCCAAAGTTACTTAGGCTAGTTCTTTTCTTCTCTGTCCCCTTTAAGGTGGTTATGACGTTTATTTATAATACACAGGTTTGCCATTTGGATTTTTGCCTTGTCCTGATTAATTTCAATTATTTATTTGAGGAGGGGGCGTATGTGAAACATGCTATGGTTCTAAGGGTCAGAATACAAAAAGCTATACTTAGAGAAGCTCTACTTCCATCACTCCCCCTCATTCCTTTACCCCCATCACCTGTTTGTACCCGCTCCCTCTCATAGATAACCAATCTCATTAGCCTATGACTTACCCGTCCTGTATTTTTTCCCCCACAAATGAGCATATACCTTATAGCTCCCTTTATTATATGAAAGGTAGCATACTATATATATTCTTGAACATATTGCTTTTCTCACTCACCAGTGTGGCCTGGAAGTCATTCCATATCAGTTCATAGAAATTTTCCTCTTCCTTTTTTTTTTTTTTTTTTAAAAGCTGCATGATATTCCA